TGTTGAGAGTGAGAAGCGTATAAAACGTAGCAAATATTTTAAAAAACGGTACTCCCCTGGTATGTATACCAGGTTGGGGTTAGGCTATAAATTTATTCTGATTTTCCTTATTTTAGTTCTATTACGAGTTCGGGGGCTGTCTGTGTTAGCCAAGTGAATATACTCCCTGTCCATAGGTTTCAATCCCTTTACACAACTTTATGTAAAGTATAGGCGAACAAAATTAGTTACCTCCATATTGGTACACGCCAAAAAAAAAACATTTTTACTAAATCGCTCAAAATAGCTTGAAAAAATAGTATATAGTAGGGCGGGGGAAGATAGACACACGGGGTTAGATGGACACTTTTTTTCAAATTGACCTATTGGCGACATCTTATGGGGCTTGGTTCTACAAATGCCATTGCCGAGTTCGTTGCTAAGGAGGGAATTCGTTCTAGCCATTTCGGTTCAGCGCTTGGCGTAGTTCGTCAGTGGTGTAGCTTTCCACGTGGCTTGTGATTTTTGAAGGGTGAAAAAAAGGGCATTTAGTAAGGACACGTTTTTCTTGGAGGCACTATATGCTCATTTTCAGCGAAGGAACTCTGAATCGCGCGTTTGTTGGTAAGTTTATACTTACTGACAATGATTTAGAACTAAATGAGCGACTTGTGCCATCTAGCAGCTAACTATATCTTTCAGCATGTGATCATGTAAAAATGGGGGGGTTATGAGGGGGTAATAAATTTCTTGCGTTTTTCGGGCTTATATTTACTTTTGACCGTTCAAACCCGTTCTTTGTGAATAAGATACCAGAAAGTCTTCTTTTTAATTTTGTTATTGCTTTTACCTGTCAAAACACTTCTTGGATAATCTCAATAATCTTATGAAATTATGGGGGGTGGCCAACTTACCCTTATGTACTATCATGTTTTTCCAGATGCAAGTTTTGGATGCACGGAAAACAGAAAATCCTAAAGAATGTTGAGAAAATACCAAAGAATATCAAACAGAGGCAAATAACAAATAGAGACTACGATGTACCATCTCATGAGGTTAACACCACGACAGAGGTAGAAAGTGTCACAAGTGAACCATGCTGCTCTGTGCTCTCTAACGATTTTTTCAAGTAGAACTTCACCAGGAGTTCAGTTAGTTTCTGATAAAGTCAGTGATTCTTTGAGGCAAGAAAATAGCAGAGACCTGATAGCACCAGTTTATCATTTGAATATATTTGCCTCTTCCAGTAGCCACTCAGAGAGCCAAGAGGCAAAGAAAGCCATTCAGGCAGGAATTAGAGTGTTAACAAGTGAGAAATATGTAGCCGAACTGTCAGCACTCGCAGAAACAACGCCACCTAGCTCGTTCAGGAAAACTACAGCACTCGCAGAAACGATGTCATTTAGCTCGTCTAAGAAAGTTGCAGCTCCCAGGAAGAAAAAAAGAAAATAAACGTAAGAATGAGCGACATGAAAGATATTGTTACAGTAACCTCTGTGCTGTCTGCAACGGCAATTTTTTTGACGACGAAGAGGACGAGGGATGGATTCAGTGCCAGAAATGCCAAAAGTGGCTTCACGATATTTGTGCCGGGATTTATGGAAAACACATTGTGTCCTTCCAATGTGATGACTGCTCTGCTTGAAGCTTTTTTGTATAAATATTTTTATTCGAATGTAAAATTCCATGACGATAGCTTTCATGCTATCCCAGATGTTCTTTTGGTGTTATGATTAAGATTTGTGTGAAAGTATGATCAAATAAAATTTGGCTGCTTTACTAGGTGGTGTTTTATCATACTTTCGTGAACAATTATATGGGTTCACAACTTCAAAGATTTAAGGGGTAAGATGGACATAGGGGGAATTTTCGAATGCCTCAAAAATTTTTCCAAATACATTGCTTATTTTGATATTCTGATAAGAAATAGAACGCAATACTAGTATTTTGATGCGATTTTATCACATGTCCGTCATATCCGACCATATGTCCAACTTCCCCGAATTTTTTTTTCGTTTAAAAACGTTTCTGCTGTTGCGATGGTTGGAGACCGGCGGACGCCGCCGAGTGGCTAAAAGGTTCAGCCCCTTATGTTTGTACTTGCAAAGTTTTAAGAATATTTGAAGAAAGGTTTTCGAAATATAGATAATTTTCAATAAGGGGGGCCATCATCCCCCGCCCTACTATATATATAAGTTATTTTTACTTCTTCCCAGACGGGAGACGCCCCTTTCTTTACTCTTGTTATTTTTGTTTGATTCGGTCCACATTTGATTTTCACCACTGGTTTAATATTCGATCCTGTCATTTGTCTTCCTTCGTGAATTTTTATCCGAACTTGAAAATTTTCGATTCTTTCTGATAATTTTTTACGATCTGTTCTGGAAAATAAGTATGTACAGTTATCAATATCGTTAGGCAATGCAAATATAATATAGTACAAAATGTTACACAAATATCAACTATTAGCGGGCTGTTCTCGTGGTAAAAGCGGTGGACTTGGCGGTGCTCCAGAAGTGTGTGTACCAATATATTGGTAACTAATTTTGTTTGCCTATTTTACATCAAGTTGTGTAAAGGGACTGAAACCTATGGGCAGGGGGTATATTCACTTGGCTAACACAGACAGTCCCGGAACTCGTAATAAAACTAAAATAGGGAAAATCGGAATAAAATTATGGCCAAACCCTAACCGACTTGACTATATCGGCATCACCGGTCGAAAGTTCCGGGATCAAATTCATGCCCTTTTGTAACAAATTGAGTAGTCAATGTTGAAATGAAGAGAGGCCCAGTATTTCCAAATATTGTAGCTTTATCAGTCGATTGTACAGAGCATCGTTCGAGATTGACTCGGCGGTGTGGCGCATCGTGCTACGCGTTAGAAATACGCTTGCCAACGCACCCCTGGTTACCCTGCGTGGGTTCGCAGGTTTGAATCCCATGCGGGGATAGTTCTGTGCGAGAGGATAGCTGGACTCCTCGAGGCCGTAGGGTGGTTCACGTAACCGCTGGTCGGCTTCCTCTACCATCAAGTCCATGCTTCCGAAAAAAAAAAAACTGGCTAACTAATCCCACACCCGATCAGGACTGGTAACCGAACGAGAGGCCGTGGTTCGCATATGATGCGCCGTCTTATCGGCTTTCCTCTTCCCCGGGATAAATATGTCAATCAAATCCTAGCCTAATTAAAAAGCGCATAAAACTTTGTATAAGAGGTCAATTATATGTGTATGGATGAAAGCTTTATTAACAGCATTGGTGGTCTGTATTTTAGCAATATTATATATTAGAAAGAGCGTCGTCACCAAATACTTTTTCGTATGTTGATCCAGGGACACGGGCCATAACGTAAAGGTTATGTGACGCTGGGACAAAACTATCGAACAACCAAGTATCGTAACCAGCCGAACGTTTTGCACAATAGTGTCGTACTGCTATAGTATTTTGACAAATCAGGCAAATAACATCTTGATTGCGCCGAACAAGAAATATTTCAGACTTCACTCAGTTTCAAACTTCCTTCCGCTTTTCATTATCGATCTTTTTTTTTCGGGAATACATTCGGTGCTCCAGAAGTGTGTGTACCGGTATGAAGGTAACTAATTTTGTCCGCCTACTTTACATCAAGTTGTATGAAGAGACATGGGGGATGGATATTCACTTGGCTAACACGAGCAGTCCTCGAACTCGTAATAGAAGTAAAAAAAGAAAAATCGGAATAAAATTACGGCCTAACCCTAACCTGCTACACACACTTCGGAAGTACCATACATTTTACCCTTTCGAGTCCAATACAAAATCAAATATGCCAATGGTGCCGTTACAAATGAAAAAAGCATTCACAAATGGTCGATACGAAGTATGTTACGGCCCACGTGAATGGGTTCCACGTACTGTGGCCCGCGGGCCATATGTTAAACGCCTCTAGTATAGTCTTACTTTGTTTTGGATTTCTCTTTTCCTGGTGTCACATCGATTCCTTCATCATCTTGATCGTTGTCTGCTTCTTCATCAAGATCTTCGTTTTCATCGCCGCCCTCTGTTATTACGGAATAATTGAACTTTAGTTAAAAAGCTGAGCTTTTATTAAGTATCAATGGGAGAATAGCTGAGCCTTTATGTATTATCAATGCGAGGGAGGATCGATTAGATATCAGTGGAAGCGTTACATTGCTTGTTCCGAACAAAAAACGTGAATAAGTGCCGTATGCAAAAATATATCGTTGGAGAGGGAGATGATAAAACGAATCATTCTTGTAACATGTCATGACTTCTACTTTCGGTTATGAGTTCAGGGGTGAAATAAAAAAACAAACCAGTTATTAACTAGGATGGCGGAAGAAACTGTATTTTAATATTTATTACAGTAATGAACTCTCAACGACGATTAGTTCAATCAAAGCTAAAGGTAGTAAATATATAGAATAGACTTAGCATATTATGAAAATTCTTAATAATAGATTGAAGTATAAATATTTCCTTACTTACACCCAAAGAATTTCATTTAAAACGAGGTTAGACTTGAGTTCATACAGCAAAAGTCGTAAAATTACAATAAACCGAAAAATTGCGATTTTGACAATTTTTTTTAATCATTCAACGAATAACGCAAATGATCACATAGTCAAAGCTGTACCTTTATTCTCAGTCCTCGTTTTAGATTCTTGCTGTTCCTTTCCATCTTGCCTTTTGTCTTGTGCTTCGTCCTGCGAAGAAAACATTCATACATGATGATGTTAGTGGGCCTTGCAACTTAGTGACTCCGGCTGAACTAACCCGCTTGGACTGGTGGTCGGGGTCTTAGACCTTTTATTCTAACACATGACTTATAATAACCCAGGCAAATAAAATAAGGTATACAGAAAAGAGAAATATTCAATGCATTTCCCCATGTACATCAAAACTGCTGTCCGTCGCTAAAACGAATAGTTTTTAGCTTTTTATGCACTTTTTACTATTTTAGGTAAGCTGTTTACTAGATTTAACCCTAATATATTCAATGGTGCTCATTTTTTGAAGAACGGAATTATCAAATTATTTCATTATATTCCTGTAATGTAATGCTGCGCGTGTTTAATTTTCAACTCAATGCTCAAAAAATGTTAAATCCAAGATTCAGCATCAAGTCGGATTCGGGTCTGTCAATCTGTGGGCCATGGCTCACTTCTGGGCCACAAAAAATCTATCAAAATTGCAAGAGTTATTGATAAATTTAGTTTCATTTGCGTCCCTAATTTAGTTAAATTTTAATTACTGTAGCAATAAATAATGCTACTGTTGTTTGCTGAGTAGTAATCTTCATTCTAAATATTTAAGTGAAAATGTCAATATTGCTGAAAGAATTATTTTCTTGTAGTTTTACCCTGGCATACCCAAGTGTGCAACAAAAATTGGGCACGACAGAAAAAAAGTTGTGAACCATTAGCCTCCAAATTATGCAGCAACTATGGTAAAGAATTACAACTGGCTATAATAATTCACAAATACAGGTTTCGGCCTGTTAAGGCTCTATAATAGTTCACTTTAAAACAGACCACCCGTATTTTATAGTTAATGACGTTAAGGATATGTCAAACGAAACTCGCGATTCATATGTTTGGGCAGATAATTAGAAATTGAACAGGTTACCTTGGAAGAAGATTTCTCGCTCATTATTTTTTCGTCTTTACACTCGAACTATAAACATTGGTATAAAACTATATTCTAAAACTTCTGAATATAAAAAATAATATTTATTACTAAATGTCGCACGTTTGTAACAGGTATTATCGAAGTATCCTATGGGATGCCCGGAGAAAGACGCCATGTCTATTCTGAGCCACCAATGGACCATGCGATAAATAGTGTAGGGTAGACTTTGCCGAATCAAAAGCATAATGGCGGTCCATCGGTGTCACAAGTACATGTATCAGAAACAAATAACCGGCTGGCGACGTGGACTGGTAACCAGACGAGAGTCTGTGGTACGCTATTTCTCCTCAATCGGGAGAAATATGAAAATCCTATCCTACGGAACTATATGGAAAGTAAAGTGCAACGTCGCTTTATTTGATGCACCAAGTATATGCTATTGTGTATTGGGTGCATTTCATGCTGATATCATTGTTGTTACATTTCCTGCCACACATTAACATTATCCTCGTGAATACTGGAATTTGTTACGAATTCATATTTCACTAGTGATATAGTTTAAGAAGTTACTAATTTTACTATCATAAACGTTAACGTCTATATAAATACGCTTTACCAACAAAACCATTTCTGGTATTCTAACCAAACGATCTCAATACCCTCATTTTTTAGGGCAGTGGTTCTCAACTCCTTTTCTTTCGTGGCCTACTTTAACTTTTTCATGCAAGAGCTAAACTGCAAGAAAGACAAAAAATTCTTTCCCCAAAGCTAGACACTCTGGCCATTTTTAATATGCCCACCTGAAAATTCTTAAGCTGCCTCTAATCCCTCCATAACTCTCTGCTTTTTTGGAGCGTTGTTCAGAACAAACTGACAGAACCAGACATCATATTTTTGCGTTCCGCAAATGAAATGATTGATGAGCTTGTTAAAGAAAGCGAGACTCCGCTCATCCGAAAAGAAACGCATCGGAACTTCGTTATACCTAACTTCCGTCATGATTCTTTCATTCGTGTACAAATTGAAGAAAACTCTGAACCTATTCATAAGTTCATTATTCGCAAGGAAGGAAGCAATCAGGAAACTTTTAACTCTGATGAGCTCTGCCGAAATAATAAACCAAGTTACATTATCATCTTGATCGTTGAAATTTATGGAATCCCTTTGTAGGTGTGATCTGTGGACAGAAAGCGCATTTACGGCCCGGCTCAAAGTGTACGCTTACATTGGTGGGAAATACGAATATGTTGTAACAACATGATTAACTATGAGTTGTCATAACCTGTCTTTCCCGGAAATTTAATCAATTCGAAATTCCGGTTGAAAAATTAAAAGCTCTGAATAAAATTTGCATAAAGAGTAGGCCCAAGACAGTCATGGAAAAGCCAGTCATTCGGGTGGAGATACGGCACATGCTTAAAATGAAAGATTTTGACTAAAACGGGAATGTATATGTTGAACTGTGCGTGTACGGTTGGGTCTGTTATTTTTTAATTTAAGTTTAGTCTTTAAAAAAGTATCACCGCACACAAATCCGATCATGAATACCAAATAAAATAGTAGAGTACAAGACATCCGACTACTGTTATTAGTAGGCCTATTACGCAAACGTAAAAATACTAATTTTATAACTAGTTATAAAAAAATAGCGTTTTGTTTAAAAATTTCAATCTTCGCCTCATAAACATTTCAGCAAACGAAAGAAGGTACTCCTGTAGTATATGTACCAGGTTAGGGTTAGGCCATAGTTTTATTCCGATTTTCCTTATTTTAGCTCAATTACGAGTTCGGGGACTGTCTGTGTTAGCTAAGTAAACATACTCATAGGTTCCAGTCCCTTTACACAACTTGATGTAAAATAGGCAAACAAAATTAGTTACCTCCATATTGTTGTTACATACACTTCTGGAGCGCCCGATAGAATGCTTCTTCAAATTTGGCACAAAAGCACTCCACTAAAACCGCGGTGTACAGATTACGGCGGTCGATTTCTCGAGGGATAACATTACCTTTAGCATTTGGGAATTGTCCTACTCTATTCTCAATATAACAGCGTGTGAAAATCTTCCTTTTTTATATTACAGCTAACAGATCGACACTGCAATTCTAGAGAATTCGAAGGCAACGGAAGGTAATAAATCGAACATTTCTGACTTTCTGACCAAGTTTTATAATATATGTATGCGTTGAAATATATAGTGTGTTTTTATTTCTTTCTCTCTTCTTGTCCCTCTATTTTTCTCATTTTCATTAAATGTTATCTAAAGTAAAATTCCTCATGTGTATATATTCATAAGTGTTATTGTTTTACTGTTAGAGCGGTTACCAAAGTAAACATAATTTACCTTCTTTATTTGATCACACATTTCAAACACAATGTCTCCTTCAATTTGCCTGGACGTCTTCCATACAAAAAAACGAAATAATCAATGGATACCTGTAGTTAAACCAATGCAAATGCTAGGAAATAAAATTTCTGAACGTTGTACAATTACCGAAAGTGATGCAACTAATATTAAAATTATTATTCGTTAAAAAAGAAAACGTGTGATGCACTGTATACAAAAATATCAACTGCACGTTTCCATCGCGATTTGATTGAATAGACGTCTCGGCATTCCTTTCTAGCGTTTTGTATCGAGGTTACGTGTAACGTTCGTGTGGATACATATCTTATATCATAGGAATTAGACGGGCCATATTACCTGCGTGTTATTTCTACTGTACTATTTAACGTAGTTTAGTAAAGGAATCCCCAACTGACTCCTTCATAGATGATATAAGAACACAATGAAGTGTAGTGCCAAATATTCGTATATTGTAAATTGCACAATCGCATTGGTCAAAATAACAGATAACGAAATATACTCAAAACCTTCAAACAAGGATATGTGATGAAACCAAGTTTCTAACCAACAAAGAACGAAAAAACAAGGACGAGCAACAATTGAGGGTGGGAAATACGTCATCAACTTTTCTCGCAAAAAACGTTGCTTGGAAATAATGATGAAGGAAATTGAGTCGGACAGCGACATTGTTTCAGGCAAAAACATGCACTATTAACAACAAGTGGTTAACCACATAGAAATCCGCATTAATCATCCTTGAGTACTTGCTACAATATCATTCTTGCAAAGTGAAAAACTGGCTAGAAATTTTTTGAAGTAAAAGACTATGCAATGGTTAAAATAATGTTTGCTATAATGCAGAAGTCCATTTCCTCTCTAATTAACTACTTTGACCATTATTTTCTGAAAATGAACAATCGTAGCCTCTTTGGAATTGCAGACCACGAGAATTGAATTAGTAGTAATTAAAATTAGTAAGTTAGTTCATTGACCTGTCGTGATGTTTTACGCATGATGTGACAGGCACCTTTAAAAATGCGTTAAATTTAATATTTGTAAGTATTTCTATCAATTTTACCCATTGTGAATAATAAAGTAAATCGGAAGCTGTATCACGCCGGGCAACTGAGGTATGATTTAGTTTCAGCATAAGTTTGGCGTACAGTTAAAACGTAGATCAGTACCAATAACATTACCCAGCGATCACATTAATATTGCCGGTATTTTAAAAAGTAATCAATAAAAATCCAATTCACAGGCATATAAAATAATTTTATAATAATATTAGTAATAAATTAATAAAATTAAATATTAATATTTGTTGCATCACACGGTCTGACACATTTACTGAACAAAAGGTTGATATTTCACGTAAGACGCGGGATGGGCTTTCCACGGCTGAGTTAGGAATCGACCAACCAATCATTTTTTAAAACCCATTCAAAGTGATCTAACATTTTACGGCGGATGATAGATACTCAGTGACTAATATATTTAACATTTAAGCTATTATGTTTGGCTTGGCATTTTTTGCGAAGTCCTAATGATTGAATTGCGCTATTCTTTCGAACTTTTAACGCTTCTAGAAGCCATACCAATTGCATTGGAGATTCCAAAAGTTTTTAATAAAGATTGAAAAATGGTATCATACACAAAATGCAATAAATGAGTGGATTAATTTTTTCGAAATCAAGGAATATTTAGGCTAAATGGTTGCTGTTCATTAGGGATTACAACAAGCACTGTACAGTCGGAGTTTGGCATGTTTAGGCTACTGGAGCTGAACTTGGAAGTGGAATTGGGCTAAAACAAATGCCCGAGTGCTCGGGGAAAGGATTCGTCACATTAGAATAAATTAGTCGTTGACATTGGAGTTTTTCGTGATAGGCACTAGCCAGTTCACTCTGTAAAACCACACATACCATAAACGAGCAATTGGTAAACGAGTAAATGCCTGACTCCGTCTCTGAAGTCATTCAGCGATGAATTTTTCGAAAACAAATTGAAACATTTGTTTTGATTGCAGTTGCCAGTGACATATTGCGACTGCGGAATATCGATTGGGAGAGGTACTTACCGTAAAAACACTTCTACCACACAGATGCGTATCGTCGGTATCGAGCTTACTGTGTAGGGGAGTTTTCGGTCACCTTCGAGGGCTACCCGATGAAATTTAGCTATGGCACAGTTATCAGTTCTGTTATTCAAACGGCGTAATTATAAATACATTCATATATACATTTTGGCAACAAGGCTTTCCTACGCAAAAGGGAAAAGTATCTATGGCATGATGTTGTATTCAGTTTTAGTTTTAGGGTATATGAACCGCACATACTATAATAGATCCCGTAATGTATCTTTCTAGTTTTTTTAGGTTTGAGGAAAACATTATCGCCCTTCGTCTTTTTACGCTTCCATTTAATTTTGTTAATTTATCGGCAGAGCAGTTAACATTGGCTGTTAAATTACCGGAATGAACATTGGGCCTAATACCTACGACATAACAACACATCAATTCTCTCTTCCTGTCCGAACGAGTGAATCAGCGATAAATTGAATGCTTTCGTTAAATAAATAAATTTGTAATAATGTTATATAAAAATTGTTTATGACTGACATGCTGCATGACCGGGACATTTAAGTCTACCGGGCGGGACGCCGGGGCAGCTTGTCACTTTAGTCCTGGGTAAACCGGGATGTATGGTAATCCTATATATATACTGAAACTAGATA